CCTTCCAGTACCTGAAGGGGCTACAGGGAAGCTGGGGGGGACTTTTTACAAGGGCCTGTAGTGACAGCAGAAGGGGTTACGGGTTTAAATTGAAAGTGGGGAGGTTTAGATTAGATGTAAGGAAGAAGGTGAAGCACTGGAACAAGTTGCTCAGAGAGGCTGTGGATGCCCCATCCCTGGAAGTGTCCAAGGCCAGGCTGGATGAGGCTTTGAGCAACCTGGTCTAGTGGGGGTTGTCCCTGACCATGGCAGGGGGGTTGGAACTAGATGGTCTTTAAGGTCCCTGCCAACCCAAACCATCCTGTGATTCTGTGACTTTTGACTGGCCAAAAGGAGTGTTTATGGAATACATCCCATTGTCTGGGTCCTCATATGTCTTATTTTCACAGTATCAAAGTGCACTGATGTCTCCTGGGAGGTAAATTATGACAACAAATCTTTCTGTGCTTACAGAAGTGATGATATGAACAGCAGCCATCCTGAATAAGAGGAAAAGGAAAGATATTTTCTATGACCTCCCTAGGATATAGATTAAAAATTTAGAAGATCAGTTTATCTAGATCTATTTACAGAAGCATGTACTGTTGTTTATGGTCTTGGTACAATGCTGGGAATGAAGTTCATGCATTTATCATATTTAGATATTTCTAAACACAGAAATTCAGTGTTTGTTAACACAGATAAAAATGAAATAAAGTTTGATGGCAGAGACATACCACATGAACACACTCAATCAAGGAGCAACTAAAAGAGACCTAACTACTTATTGGGGGAAGAAAGAAATTGGTTGGACACAGGACATAAATTCTAGTACAAAATTAATAAATTAATTTCCCCAAAGGTAGACAGTCCTTTTCACAGCTGGAGAGACAGGCAAGCCTCTCTCTTTGGAGTAAGCCAAAAGAAAATGCATCTCTGGGAAAGGGAAATTAAGTATCTCCATCGCCCATGAAGTTTTGCAACTATGAAAATTAGGTTAGAATAGCCATGAAAGTGAGTCTGCTCCAACAGCAGAGTCACTTTATTAAATGCAGCTTGAAACACAGTCTGTGCAGAAAGATGAAGATCCTAATTTAACACTTATCTGGAAAAACCTGTAGAGCAAGTTGGTTAAAAAGGGGAAAAGGCAGATATCCTTCAGACTGCATCAAATAAAAGCAGGCTGAAATGTGGCCTTCTTTTCCATTTCCTCACCTACATTTTCATAAATGTTTACAACTATGCTGTCCGCTGGAGGCACTGCAAACTGTTTGCTTTGTGCTTCAGGCTGTCTTGAGCGCATGCTAGCGGCATGACTTCTGGGAAGAACAGGATAATCCTCACCCAGATGCAGAAATCCTGAGGCTGGTGTCTGCGGGAGTCCGAGGCAGCGGTGTGTGCAATCACAGCAGTCCCTGGAGTCTGGTCGTGCTGTCAAGGCAGAGCCAAGCCAAGGGGCTCAGGCTTGAATCCATCGAGTGTCTTTGGTTAGTTTTTCCTCTGCAGGCGCAAATTTCTCAGTATGGCCTCAGATCACCCTAATCATTGGTGGAAACTCGGAAAACTTTTCTGGGCATATCCTAGGTGTGCGAACAAAGGGAGCCTTTGATCCATTAGGGAGAGTGCTGTCCTGTGGCCACCAACAGACACAGACTGATTTCACTGATCTCTTCACATTTCAGCTGTGTTCTTTGTTTTACTAACATGTCCGACGAGGGTGCAACTTCTGCAGGTCAGAAAACTTGAATGTTGCAGTAAGTCATACCGTCTGCTTTGTTGTTTTCACCTCCACAGCTTTACCATGAACACCTACCTCTTTGTGTATGACTTAATGCAATTCTGTGGACATTCCTGGATATTTACAAATATGATCATCAGGTTCATGTCTTTTGGAAAAGGTAGGATTCTTTCCATATTTTCCTTAAACACTGTAAGACCCAGTGGCTCTTACACTGGCAGAGTCACTGGCACACACAGAAACATCAAACTGGAGACAAAGTTAGGATCCTGAATACGTGTACATCCGATACCAGGGGCTCTAACTGCAATTAGAAAAACATGGTTTCTTCCATTAAAAAGGATGAACAAAATCCTGCTACCTACATTGTGCCTGTATCACATCAGGAATGAAGCTCTTGTTTTGCTCGTGAGCTTTAATATTCAGCAGCATTTTAGTACACCTGACTTAGACTGAGACCTAAATGTGACTAGGTCCAGTCACTATGGTGAATATTAGTATTATCGAAGCTACTAGGAAGGAATGTATTTGTGGTTATTTTACATGATCTCCCAAAACATTACAACAAATTTCTCCTTCCACTGCCTGGAGCTAAAGCACGAAAATAGAAAACTAGTGACTGGAAAGTTAAAATTATTTGTAACAGGGACAGTTGCAGGCACATAAAGTACCTATTTCGTGGTTTGCTTGTTTTAGGAAGTGCCACAGGCACAGATGCAGGCAGAAACTCAACATCTCCTCATGTTTAGACATTCTTCACATGTTTCCTCAACATTTCCTCATATTGAGAAATATCCTAAAGCAATATCTCTAAACCAACACATCCTGCGCAGTGTTTGCCAGTGTATCAAGTACAAGGGCTCCCATTCTTTCCCCGGCTTCCTGCCTCTGTGTCAGAGCCACGCATGGAGTGGGACTGCCTCCTCCCCTCCCTGAAGTTTTCTTCTGCTACCTAAATGTTTGGTACCGTATGAACCTTATTTGTCATCTCCAGTCGTGACAGGGCAAGAGCAAACCCAGTCGTTGGTCCAGACTTTTACTACATAACCACCCTCTAACTTCCCTCTTCACTTGGTCCGCAGATTCGTTGGCCGACACATTTTACTCCATAGGACTTGTGATGCGCTTTTGCCAGTTGCTATCTATGTTGGAGATCCTACACATCCTCATGGGCATTGATAAGAGCCGTCTGTTCCCCAGGTTTTTGCAGGTGAGTCCATTTCTCTAGACCCTCCTTCCATGAGCGGCACGCTTCACCCATGGCTGCCCCTGGGGATGAGGCCGGGCTGAACCACCCCGAAGGGTCGAGCTGTACCCTTCCGTGGGGAGCGTGGCCTGTGAACGGCTTGCTGACTGCAGGAAACGAGTCCTCAGAACCGAGCTGGGACAGAGCGGGTCTCTCAGTGTTTTTCGAGTGAAACCGAAGAGCGAGGGCCCCACACCCAGCCCACAACCGCAAGGACTGGGGAAGATGTCCAGAGGAGCAGAGAGAAACCTGGAGAAACAGGGTAGCCCCTACTTCTGGGGTACCATAGGTAGCTGAGGATACTACCTCCCCAGCTAACTTCTCAGAAGACAACATTTCAGAGCCTAAGTTTTGGTAGCTAATTATTTCCCATGCCATTTCCTCACCGACGAGTGTAATTTATTCTGTAGACAAGAGCAAGGCAAGATTTTGTGGGGCAGCAAAGGGGTGGCAGAGAGATAACCACCAGCACATCGAGCCTTCTGAAACAGGGTTTGCTGGTGGCCACAGAGTGTGGAAGGAAAATAATTGATTAAAAAAGATAAATTAAGGGACTGAAGAAGAATGAATGTTTGGAAGGAAAAGAAAGAATTGCCCTGTTCGCCCTCTCAAACCCAGATACGGACAAATTATGGCAACATCCAGAGGTTCTGTTGCTGTCAAGGGGTTTACAGGGCGTATGTTCAGCTGTAGGCAGAAAACCAGACGAAAGATCACATGCTATAGCAGAAAACAAGATGATTCTCTGACGTCGTCCTTACCACACTCTTGTTTTCTGTTGGAAGTTAATCTCAGGTTTGTGTATTTTTCTTAATGCACTGGAAAAAGTAAAAATGTTGACTTGAGTTTACCTTCAAACCTTTCCAATGCTTAATATTTGAATAATGGTGAAACTGGTATTGCTCTCAGCAGTCAAAAGGTAGAAGACTAAGCGTACTTAGTTATGTTTTTAGTTATCTGGATAGCCCATTTGTGTCAAATGACATACAGCATGGGTGAAGATGTTCCTCTTTTTAAATCTCCATTATAAATTGACTAATACAGATCTCTGTTCTTTATGCTGCTCACTAAGTAAGGAAGCAAATTTGTCAAAATGCAATCAACTGTTTTTCCCTACCTAAATCTTCATGCTTTTTCAATAATCTGGGGGAGGGGGAGGAAAGAAGTATTCTACCTAATGCGTCCTGTAACAAATCTCATGCCATCTCTTGGAGAGAAGAGTCATTAAAGCAAGGCTTGTCCTGGCAGAGTTCACACATTCCCCAGCCCTGACATAGTCCATTCCCTTCCTACCCAGCCCTACAGAAGCAGAGATCAGGGAAGCTTGCACAAACACTGCTCTGCATCAACACGAAGGACGCTGGGTATGAAACGGATATTCTGGGCAAGTGCCATGACTGCGGTGCTCTCCAGGGCAGCACGGAAAAGGCGGGCCAGGGAATGATACAGCAGTGTGGCTCCAAACATTTGCCTCACCACCGAGACAGCTTTGGGCCCTTCCCTGCTCTCCTCACGTGTTCTCCCACGGCACACATACCTCTCTTGCCTTGACGTTAGTAGTCGTCTCACGCTTTCCAAGCAAGGAGCACAAGCTCTTCGGTGTAGACTCTGCTCTCGCCTGGGATGCTCAGCTTTTGCTGTGAGAGTACAGGTTAAGCAGCTCTGTGCCAAGACGTAACCCCACCTGCCTTTTAGGGAAAAAAAAAAAAAAAGGATATGTTTTCCACAATCAACTGGGTAAGGGCAGTCAGGCCTACCTTACTGCAGCCTATCAGACCACCGCACATAGTCAGGTAACGCTGCAAGAACTGGACAGTGGCTGCCCTATTCTGTGTTCCCATCACCTCTTCCGACTCCAACCCTAAAACATATCCCTAGATGGATCCCTCAGGTCATGAACATATCTACAGCGAAGCTCATCGCAGGTGATCTCTAAGAGATCAGGTGGCTCTGGCAATGCCATGGGTGGAGGTAACACCACCCTGAACAAAACAAGCTACAAAGTTCCCCTATGGAGGTTGGTTATTTTGTAGGCATTATAGCAGAGACAAGGTTTAGGCAGTTTGAATGAAGGATTTCCACCCAATATTCCATTTATCGTGGTTTAGTAGCATTTACAAGGAACACTTTGAGATACACATTACATTTGAGATACACGAGATAGTGGAAAAGCAAACTCAAGAGGTAATTTCTGGAAAAACCCATTCAGGATGGCTTCACCGCAGGACAAAGCCTCAGGCCAGCAGGCACCTGAGAAGGTTTAGGTAGGCTGAGTTACACCATGAGAGAAAGATGAGACCTGTGTGATGGATGCTCTGGAGGAAGGGAAGACACGGGAGGTCAAAAAGTTGGTGCAAAGGGATGTCTCTCAAGGACTGAATGACTGAGAGGAGGACAGGAGAACATGTCACATGTCACTGCAATTGCCCAAAGAGAGGATAATGGAATTTAGTTGTCTGACCAGGGAGCAGATGCTGATGGGATCAGTATTTTGGCCAGGGAGAGTAGGAAAGATGTAAGAAAAGACTGGTGTTTTTGTGAAGAAAACATCAGTTCCTCATCCTGTGCAAACAAGATTGCATTTACCTGACCCAAAGCAATGTACCACGGCTTTGAGATAAAAACATTAATTTTTAACTTAATCTAAATATTTAGTGCCACTTTTCTTAATTTAGTGAATGTAAAAAAAAAAAAAAAAAAAGTAAGGAGCTATGTAATGGTTTCAGATACCAAGTACGATACTGCACAGTCATGGTTATTAAAAAGTGGAAGTGAATGTGCTGCTTGCTCCTGCCCTAACCTCAACTAGTCTAATATGCTCTGTTTCACTTACTTGCTTCAAATGCCCAGGCTGCCTTGTGGAAATTTATGCCATTCTACAGAACTTGTTATATCCTGTGAGAGACCAGGGCTGGGAGAGGAAGGAAATTCCAGTTTGATCTTAACACAAAGAACAAGAAGGAATGAGAAATGAAACTATTTTATTTACGCTTTGTGAGGTGTGAGCACATGCTTCCTCTTCATGAACATGAAAACACAGGAATTCTAGTTTTGCCTTTTTTTTTTTTTTTTTTTTAAGCCAAGAGACTAGCAATAGAGAATACCATGTTTTTATTCACGCAAGGACAGACCATCCATAGAAAAAATGAGCTGTGGCTGAGCAGCAGCATGTGTTTTCACATATATGTGTATATATATATGCGTGTATGCACACACACACACATATGCCTGTGTATACTTATATTAGTGCATGATTCCATGCATATATGTATGCAGATGTGTGTGTAGGGGCACAGTAGCAAGAGACCTTTACTGCAATCTCCTCCGTTCGGGGGAGCACCCTGCCTTGGCACCTGTTGCAAAGGTCGCCAGCCTCTCCCCAACACCTACACCTACCTTCACTTTGTGTGGGTTACCTAAAGGTACGAGCACTATGAAAGCGGAGCACACTGTAACTAAGGGGAAGAAAGGCAAGCAGGCAGGCAACCTACCTATTCACACAGCCCAGGGGTAGGATGCCACTGCCTATGTTCGTGAGGACATCATGGTTGCCCTGAGCAAGCTGCCCCGCAGATGTGCCCCAGGGCAAGGGCACGGACGGTTTTGTTTTGGCCTCCAACAGCCGCTCTGCTCATCCCACCGCTTCCTGGCTGAGACTGTGGTCCAACAGGAGCAGAAGACCTGCAGGGCACCTGCTCCGATAACTCCAGGTCCCTGCTCACGCAAGTGCTTTGCCTGCTCCACAGCATCTGAGTGCTGAGCTCCATCATCTGCAGCTGTGAAGCCGAGTGCCTCCACTGCTCCCCTTCCCAGCCTGGAATCCCTGACAGGGGAAGGCTGCTGAGCCCCAGCTAGGTGGTACTCACTGCCTCTGGTGCATCTGCTAGGTCCCTGGGAGAGAAAGACATCCACAGCCTCGTCCACTCCCAGACCATAAGGCTGAACTGGGGGTCTCTGAAACCACTCTGGCTCGTTGGGCAGTGCTCATCCTTTTGAAATTGGGGATGGTAGCTACCCATCCACCGCTTATCCTTCTCTTGCACTGAAATGGGATCACCTGATCACTGACCCATGCTGTTTTCTAGCACATTTCCGCCCAGTCACCTCTTGAAGACCAAGCGACCATTTGGAAAATCTGCCATCTCTCCCACCTTAAAAAAAGTCCACCTTTCCGTTACCGTGATAAAGCTTTGGCCTCTTGGCAAGACGATTCCCTATGGCAATTCTCTGAAATATCTCTCATATGAACAACATTGCAGAACTCTCTCCACGTCTGATTTTAGGATTAGTAACAAAACGCCCACACCGCCAATGCCGCACTCCTTCACCAAAATCCTTTTAACTCAGGTATTTATTCTCTCCAGTACACAACCCCATTCAGTGCTCACACTGCTTTTACCTTTGTTTTGATTTCTCTCTTGTGATGGTTGTCCCACCAAGCTTCTCCTATCTCTGTTGGATCTGGTTTCAGATCCTGCATCAATACTTCCAGTTCCCCCATTTTCTGGGCAGGTTCCTCAGCATCAGCGTAGAAACACAGGACTTACTCCCTCTCGCTCCCCGTTTCCTGGCCTGTCTATACAGAAGTCTGTCAACATGCGACCTTCTTAGAAATCAATTCCACAGTTAGGAACCAATGGGATGAGCAGCGCAAGATGTCAGCACGAGATGTCAGACCCTCAGTGTTCTTCACAATGAGGAACCGGATCCCTAGGGGATGGGCACGCTCTCTTTCTGAATGAAAAATTGCTCTCATGTAATTTTGCCGAATAGCGAAGCGATGGCTTCTTTATCCGACAGATGTGGTTTGCTGAAGGAGTCTGTAGCCAGAATGTTTCACGCAGGAACTGGTAAACTTTATGAGGCAAGACTACTGCGCAAACTTGCTGCCAGGTTCATATTTAAGGCAGGAGTAAGGAGAAGGGGGAAACCACTGAAGAATGACAGCACTTATAATAAAAATCACCTTGTTAATCCATTTAATGACTTTTTACAGACTTGACATCTCCGCTTGTAAAAACCATTAAGCGTCAGGTGTGTTACGGAAGAGATGGCAGTGGGTATAAAAAAAACACCAGTGAAGCTCTACTGATTCATACCAACTGGATAGATAGGTGTTCTCTCCTTCAACACTTCCAAACGGAGTGTAAATCAGAGCAAACCAGTTGCATCCTGGGAGAGTTGCACAACAACTGTTGGCAGTACTGAACACTACAGAGACGTTTGTTTTACAGGGCATGGATGGTGATGGGAAACTTGTCCAAGAAAGCTGCAAAGAGACACACTTACTTTTAATTTATTGAGCTTTAATATTGCCAAAATATTTTTTTAAGCTGGAGGCAGTGCCTGTTTAATCCACTTTTATAACTGTCCCTTTGTAAAGACATACTTCGTGGGACGGATGAGGTTCAACCACTAGAAATATGTTATGACATAAATATCAGGGCAACAATTCACATAAATGACAAGCTTAAACCCACTTCTCCTAGCCAGGAATAAGAAAGAAAGGCAAATAAGGAATTTTATTTTTCCTCCTCCTTTCTGCACATCTTACATGAGCGAGACCCCTCGGGACGCAGATCTCCAAGTTCTGGAAAGCAGATCAGGGACTGTGAGACGAGCACTATCTGGCACAGCCACCCAAGGGTTCTGTGCCCCACAGCCTCCTGTGCAGCCCACAAGCCAGAAAGCTTACCCCACTGCCAGCACCCCAGGCACGGGGGTGTGGTGGAAGAAGTCATGACTTCCACAACCTCAGCCAGCTCATCCAAGGGTTTCCTGGGTTACGAACCAAGCCAATCCATCAGCAAGCAAACCTCCACCCTTACCATCACAGTCCTGCAATGCTGCCACCAACGGTTTCCAGGTCTCCAAGGTAGAGACCAACGGGGTCTTGCACAAAAGCAGGGCAAGAAGTAAAAATGCTCACTGGAGCACTTGTGTAAAGAAAACTGGATTCACCTGTGGCGTCCCATTTTGCCAAAATGGCACAGAAATGAGAGCTATGGAAGGTGCTACCTGAATTCACAATTATTTTTTTCTTTTCAGATCACTGAGAGAATAATTGTTTTATTCGTTGTGATCAACAGTCAGGAAGAAGTTCAAGGGAAATACGTCGTGTGTGTTTTATTTTTCCTTTGGAACTTATTAGATGTGGTCAGGTAAGGAGTCAACGATGAAACCACGAGGGGAAAAATGGTCATTCTTGCGAGAACCACCACAGACCTACTGTGCTGCAAGATCATTTAGTTATTTCAAAATTGGTAGAAAAGCATATTATCCATTTTAAATAAACACTTGGACCTTACATGCTACTCTCTGATTTTTATAAAACTCCACATTGTTGAGAGGCAGAGTGATTTACAGATGTAAATTGTTGCATTAACATTTGTAGATCAAAGGCTTTGACCTTTTTAACAAAAGTTCAGAAGGAAATCCCCACTACCTCCTGGGGAACAGCAATTTCCGAAACTGACTGACAACCCCAGTGCTTTAATTTATTATTACTATTTTTTTAACATGTGACTTCGATCCAAGATTGACAGCACAGTAAGGCAGCACTGGCAGAACTTCTTACTGAGATGGAAAGCCTATTCTGGGTTAATTGCACCGTGCTTTCCAAAAAGCTATGAAATCCTGCTGCAGAGACTGAGAATTTCTGTGCAGTAGGGCATGTATCACACTGCAGGGACAACACACATGAGGCAAAATGGATAGGAAAACAATTCAGGGGTTTTATCTCAAAATTTCTGTATGGTGGAATGTTATCCGTATCTCTCTGTGGTAAAAGTATAATGGTGAAAATACCACATTACTGACTTTTGCATTGATACCTGAAATCTGTAACATTCCTCAAATGTCACTATGGACCTAAGCTCCAGACTTACCCCAGGGAAGACACAGGGAATGAAGAAGCATTTTAACAAGACAGAGCCCTCATGGAAATCTCTGTGTGGGAGCAAAATTTTTTCCTTTATCTTTTTTCTTTCTGCTATTGTATATACATTGCTTTGGGGACTGACTGGGGAATATGTATTTAGACAGCAAAGGAAATTTATGTTGTAAGAGAGACCTGAAAAAGTAAAGTGTCAGGTAGCACTGATAAGATTTTAAATCAGCTTCAGGGTACGTGTACTATGTATGCTAATCCAAATAACTAATACTAGTAGTTTACTCCATCCTGTTTCTTTTCGATTTTTGTAAAGCTGAATGAAATAGATGACCCTAATCCCAAAAGAAAGGGTTCTGTGCAGCTGGAGAGAGGCACAGAGAGTAAACAATATTGGCTGTAAAGTCCTGTCAGTGTGTTAACAGTCCTATCAAATGCATCACTGTGTTCTGTAATTGCTAAAGAACACAGATCGGCGTCACAGCAGTAACAGAGGCTGCTTAATAGGCAAGATGCTGTGGTCTACAGCAGCAAATGACCACCTCAAACAGTAATGCATAGTACAACTCAGGTTGCCCAGAGAAGCTGTGGATGCCCCATCCCTGGAAGTGTTCAAGGCCAGGCTGGATGAGGCTTTGAGCAGCCTGGTCCAGTGGAAGGTGTCCCTGCCCATGGCAGGGGGGTTGGGACTAGATGGTCTTTTAAGATCCCTTCCAACCCAAACCATTCTATGATTCTATGTTCTTCCACATAGTTCTTCAGGGACATAAATATCCTGTGCATTATGGCTAATGGTATACCGAGAGCAAATTCTGCAAAGTTTTGTGTATCTGATTGTTTCTGCTTATACCATAAACAGCCCAAGAGGGTGTAGCTGTTTCCTTTTTGTATTGGATTGAGATTATGTATTAAAGGTAATAATAGAAAAATGGAGACAATCCTGAGGTAGCAGAGGGCAAGCTTGATAGAAGATGGCATATTTGTAGTCTATCAAACTGTTCTACAGTCCAGGAATGATGCAAACTTAGTCAAATGAATAAGAAAGGAATACAGCAAGTTTATTTAATGTTGTTTCCACATGTCAGAAACAGTCACGGCTAACAGCGGCTTAAAAAAATCCTTATTTTCGTATCTCTGGCAAGATCACAGGGCAAAAAGCCTTTCAGGTGACCCAAGAAGTGATCAAACCTGTTTCTCCAGAGTTTGGAAAGCTGCTGTACCAATTCAGACCAAACTAGCTAGGATTTGTTTACCTTGGGAGACTAAAGCCCTAGGCATTCCCGTCTCCCAGTGAGCAGCCACCACCACAAGAATGAAATGCCACAATACACTTGAAGGCAACTACTCTTTTTGCACCTACTGCCTCTTCTGAGGTCCAGGGGACAAGCAGCCGTTACTACGTAAGATTTGAGTACCTGCAACTGCCTTGCTGTTTACCTTCCCTCAGCAGTGGTTCAGCTAGCTCAGCAGTCATAAATCCGCATTTTCGCAGTCCCAAACAACAGTCGGATTCTGCCTGCCCCTCTCCATTATAACATCCCTACCTGAAATCCGCAGTCTGATGGACCAGTATGATATCACGCTGGTTTCTGACAGAGCCTGCGGGCTGGAGGGCTGTGTTGCTCTCTGCCTGCTCCAGGGTAGCACCACAGACAACCCTTCCAAAACAATGAAACACCTATTTTCAGACATCAGTCAGGGCCTGCAACACAACTGCTGCAGCGTTGCTCTGAAACTGTCTCGGGCAGCTCCAAGATCTTGTACAGTTCCCTTGGATTTCTCAGTAACACATCTTTAAAATAAAGATGCAATCACTCCCCCGTGAGCTCATCCGCTGTCCCTCTTGCTGCAGGTACACGTACAACATGTTAGCAAGGACGGGAATATACTACTTACCACTGACGTGGCTCAACTTCTCATTGTGCATCCTGCTCTATCCCCTTTCAGTTCTGGCTAAAGGTAAGGAGATGGGAAAGGTATCAACGACCTGCTTCCTCAATCTTCTTCAATAAGATTTTTCTTTTTTTTTTTTTTTTTGGTGTGTGTTGCCAAAGCAGTCATAAATATTTATGTACCCTCACATTAGCCTTTACGTCACCTACCTTTCTCTTTTTCGTACTTTTTTCCTGAACAGGGGTTCTCCAGGATTTGTGTTTCTTTAACAGGGTTTCTCCGGGATTTGTGTGCCTGTTTTGGTTTTTTTAGCAGTATGGGAAAACATCAATTTTTCTGGGTAAAGCAGGAAAACAGCCCCACAAAAGACAGAAGGATTCCCCCATTACACACTGACCACACTAGATGGCAAGCCCCAAAGCTGCCTTCTCCCCCACCTCTGAAGCTGATGTTACTGGCTCAGGGCACACGTAGCAGCTTATCACACCCACACCACGAAGCGCGCCCACGGAGATCACGTAGAAATCAGAGCAACTACAGGAGTGACAGAACTTGTTACTGAGTAGGAAATACTTAATTCTAGTACTGAGACCAGCAGTACCTCAGACCTACAAAACTGGGCTCACAGAGAAAACGTGCGTATGTACGAGTGATGCAGTAAACTCAGCATATAATACAGCTTTCTGTGCCTTACAAGTAACTGATTTTTAAATGAAGCTTTTTGATGGCCTGCCACTTCCTTTTGACTATGATGTACCATATTATTTTACAGCATTTGCAATTTGTGTGTCACTGCCTTATTTTGAATCCTTCGGCACATACTCCATCAAGCTACCACTTCCCTTCGCCTTCTCAATCCACTTCCCCTATGTTCTGAAAACGTACCTGCTAGTCCTCTTCACAGGTAAGTATCTCACCTTCCAGAAAGCTGGGTTTCTCAAGACAGGGATGCCTATGGCAACAAAAATATCCAATCAGTGTAGCTCCTTTCACAAACCGTAACCCTCTGCCACATGCCTGCAGACCACTGCAGGGAAGTTCATCACCAGCTGTTTCGTTTTCCAGTGTCTTTCAAATAGAAATAATTGAATCTGGAAGAGACACTGTGTGTATGAGGCATAGAAATAAAAACCCAAAATACAAAAATTGCTTCTGTGATCCTGGTCTTACAGCTACTTGCCGAAGTCTGCCTTTTTTTTTTTTTAAAATCAATTCCCATTTGATCATACCCTCATTCTGTGCAACGCCCTCCTCACTCATTCCTCCAGGCCGGTATGAGAAATTATACCTAAATTAAGACTTGTAGTGTTTGATTATCCAAAAGGGTGACAAAAAAGCCCACCCCAAAACCTGCATGTTCCTGCATTCTCCTTCTCAACAAAATACTTTTGAAGAATCCGAACTGAATTTGGCTTCATTACAGCCAAGTCTTCATTCTGTCGTTGGCTTTAATGCTAATTTGAAGGATCTCATCTTTGTGATGCAGTCTTCTGTTCCCAAGTTCACGGAAGGAACTGTGCAAGGTTGCCAGACAAAGGCTTGTTCTGTTCCTTCTAAACGAACTGAAGGCACTTTGCACTCTACTCCTTTGTTCTTACACCATTTTGTGTTTTGATCCAGGTATGTGCTTTATCATCCAGGACCTCTTCTCTGAAAGGAATGCACACCTAGGGACAGGCAGCATCAAAAAGAAAAGAAGCTAGGTTGGCTATTCTTTTTGGAAATAATAAATATATTCCCAGTGGGCTAACCCATAGGTTAAAAAGAAACGAGACAAGGATTTTCAGTGCAAAACTCCTGTTCGTATGTACATTACCTGGCTGGGTAGAATTTTCAGAAAAGAGAGGTCTCTTTAAATCACCTCAAAAAATGCAGCAGCACAAAATAACCAGTTACTTTTGAAAGTTTTGACTTCAAATAGCAGGAGTTCTGAAAAACGAGCAAAAAAAAAGAATTAAGGATACCTCATATTCTGGCCCAACATTCACTTCTCCTAACAAGATTCCAGAAGATGCATCTAAACCACAGAGGCAAGCAATCAGGTACTCATCTGCTGTATATTCAAGGGGACAGTTAAGGGTCAGAAGTAAAAACTTGCAATCACGTGTCTGTCAGACAGGAAGGATCTCCCCACAATGATTTTTGCCCGTGCTGAACAGGAGACGGGCACAAGAAGTGTGATGTAGTCGGGCCAAACACATGTCGTTCTTTAAAGGGAACGGAACGACTACCAAAAGTGACATGCAAAATTCTACCTGTTTTACTCAGCCATCCTGATGCTTCTGTACGACTACCTGTGAGAACGCAACTAGAATAGAGTGTCCGAGGTTGGGAATGAAGAATATAGGCAGAAACAGTGGACTGCACAAGCAAAAATGGAGAGAAAACTTCCCAGAGGCGGGCAGGGGCTTTTCTGATGTTTCATCCATATTGATTATCACCTACGTTTGGATTTGAGGAGATGGGGAAGAAAACTGAGGCTATTTTACTGAGCTTGACTGAAAACCAGGGGGGAAGATAATATTCAAAGGGCAAATGAACACTATCACAAATGAAGAGGTTTTTGCCTGTGGGACTTTTTAAACCACGCAGCCTAAGAGGGTATAAGAGGAAAGAATGAAGCTGGCCTTGAACTCATTTGCTACAGAAGGTCACACCTAGTATCATTTTATTTATTTAATAGATGTGGCAGACAACACTTGCAGACTACTCTGACCGCTGGAGTATTTGCAAACCACACGAAGTTGTTTGACCTTGTTGCTACAAGGCCATGCATGCATTAGCATAGGGTCAAGCCTGGATGGTTTGGGGTTCTTTTTGTATTTTCAAAGCACTGCAAACACAGGTAGGAATTTGGAACTTCTTAGAGAAACAGAAGTACTGTTCTCAAAAAGCTGCGACCTGTGAGGAGGAACTGCATTGGAGCAGTTCTTAAACACTGCATCATCCCATGGGAAGGACCTCATGCTGGAGCAGGGGAACAGAGGGAAAAGGAACAAGCAGCAGAGATGAAGGTTTACGAACCAACCGCAACT